CCCCCGGGAAAGCCCCGGAGGGCCCGGCGGGCATCGCCCTGCTGCTCCGGGGGCCGGGCGGGCGCTGGTGCAGCGGGGTTCGGGGGCGCCCGTGGGCCGGGCCGCCGCGGGCAGGGTCCCTGCCCCACACACCGTCCCCAAACCGCTCCTCACCCCCCGGCCGGGGGCTTCGTCGCCACCTGCCACCCCGGGCGCTGCGGGGGGGTCTGATCCTGGCACCGGGCTGCTGGGCACGGGGCTGCTGGGGGTGGGCAGCCGGCAGCCCCCGGGCCCGGGGCTTCGCTCCTGGTGGGCTGCAGGGGGGAACGGCGACCAAACCCCCCGACGGGGTTGCTTCCAGCCGCTCTCCCCCGTGTTTTCCTGCCCCGCGCACGGGTGCCGTTAGCGGCCGGCGCTCTGCGGACGGTCAAGGAGAGCATCTGCGGGGCCAGGTCATGGAGGAGCTCGAAAAATTCCTGGTTTCTTGACTCAGGTGTGAGGCGTGTGCCACTCCGATCGCGCAGCCCGCAGCAGCTGTGAGCTGCATCACGCTGGTCCCCCCCGGGGGAGACGGAGACCCCCAGAGCCACCCGCACCCAGGGTGGGTGCTGGCTCCCACGGCGGGGCTGACCCTCTGCGGCACGGCGGCACGGCTGCAGCTCCTGCAAGTGGTTTGAACTCAATTTGCTTTTAAATGGAGCCACTTCACCTCCTGGCCGGGGGATGAGGGGGCCGTGCCGCAGCCCCGTGCTCCTGGTGCCGCTCGGCAGCCTGGCGCAGTGCGTGCCGGCGGCAGGAACGATGGCAGCGGCGTGACTCGTCATGTTAACGTGGGCTACGCTTTTTGTACCGGTGTCGAGTGGCCACTTGTGCCTCCCGCCCACGCAGGGAGGTCGCCACGTGCCCACATGCGTGCCCACCTGGGCTGCGCGGTGACCTCGAGCCACCATGGCGTGATGCAGGCAGGGGCTGAATCGGCTCCCGGTCCCACACCGCTGTTCTGCCTGCTGCCATGTCCCCTGCAGCGGTGACCTCCCTCTGCTCCGCGCCACCCGCCTGGCATCTGCCTCCAGATCGTGCCGGTGCAGCCACTGGAGGTTCGCTCTGGTGCTGTCACGGTTGATCGGAGACTGCCTGGCTCCCACCGGCGGTTGGGAGCAGACCCCCAGGCTTAGCCCCCCCGGGCAGTTCTCCCCACGGAGCTGTCGGGGCCTCTCCTGGCCCACGCAATACGGCGTCGCTACGGGGCGGGGGGAGAGAGCGAGCAAGGGAGCCGTTTCTGGAAAAGCCGCTGAATAGGATAAAGCTGACGGTTCTGGAGGAACAGCAGCGGAGCGACTGCCTTCCCATGGGATGCTCAGGGACAGCCCAGGCGGCTGGCAGAGCTCATCCCGCCCGCGGGGACGATTTGCCCCATCGCGGGATGGGGAGCCGGGCACCCTCAAGGTGCCCCATCGCAGGATGGGGAGCCGGGCACCCTCGAGGTGCCCCGTCTGGCCTGGGGGCGTCGGGGCAGAGCGGCAGCGCCGTGTGACGTTAGCTGCCATTAACTCCCACTTGCTTTCGCGGCAGCCTGGTACGCACGCTCGGCCCCCTCCTCGCCAAACCCGCTTTTCACTCATGCAGTTAAGAAAACTTAACTTTTCTATTACTGCACATTTCTCTTACCCAGGTGCTTAATTACCATTGTCCCAGGGAAATGTCAGTGTGACTCAGAGACAGTTTCCCATTAGAGAGCAACAGATGAATATTAATTAAACTCGCTGGTGGGTGGGCTCGCTCGCAGCTCCTTTCCTGGGGGGGACCCTGTCACCCCCCCGCCTGCCCGCAGGACCCTCTCGCCCAGCTCAGCACATCTGCGGCACACGTAGAAAATAAGACGACTCTGCTCCGGGGAGAGGAGTAACTCGACCTCCCTCCCGGCGCGAAGGGAATCAGCCCTGAGGAAGGAACCTTATCACAAACGACTTTTCTCTCTGTGCCCGCAGGGCTCCGTCTCCAGAAGCGCATCTCCCACCGGTGCAATTACCCTGCATGGGAAGGCGGCCGCACCCCGAGCCGCTGGGCTCCGGGGGAGCCGCTGCAAGCGGGTCTGCTTTTGGGGTGGGGAGGTGGCGGCGGCCATGGCCACGCTGCTCCCCTCCGCGCTCCATGTCCCCGGGCAGGCACCGGCCTTTGGGGCGATGCCGTTGCTCTCACCCGGAGACACGGCTCCTGGACGGAGCCATTTGCCTGCGTAACGGCAGGTTGAACGAGGGAGGCCGGGCTTTAGGGATGGACTTCTTGGGTTTGGGAGGGCTATTTGATAGAAATAATGGTTTTGGTGGAAGAAATGCTCCTTCCCACTGTGTCTGTGGTGCCCGCAGGACCACTACTCCCAGCAGCAAGGGTTAAACCTGCCCGGGGGATGCCCGCAGCCCCCGGCTGAGTGTCTCTGTGGTGGTTTGCAGCTGCGTTTTGTTCTTCTCGGCTTTGTTCTGTGCCTGCACAGCCCGGCACGCCACAGCGAGGGGGGGCCGTGGCTGCCCTCTGCCTGTGCCCCCCGTGGGGCCCGAGCTCCGTCCCCCCTCACCGCAGCGCTGCCGTCTCCCAGGATGGGTCCCACAGGGGACGTCTCCTCCGTGGGCCCTGGGGAGATGCAGGATGCCCTTGCCTCGTCCCCTCCCCGTGCCCTGCTCCCTCGGTCCCTCCGTGCTGGTACAGCCCCAGCCCGGGCGAGCTACAATCCTCCTCCAAGCAAAAGCTGTGGGGTCCCATGTGCTTTCTGGGGAGCAGAGCCTGGCACCCCAAACATGGGTGCTAGTGGAGGCAGCCACCAACCTTGGGGATGGGGGACCATGCGCAGGCTGCCCTGCTTGCCCGGCTGTGGCTACTGGGTGCCCAGTGGAGGGTCCCGGCCATGCCGATGGCCCCCGCGCCCCTCGCCAGCGCCGGGAGGGCTGAGCAGGGGGCACCGGGTCCGGCAGCTGGTGTTTGAGCCGGGGAGAAAGGCAGGTTGCTGGGAAACATCCCTCTTGAGCTCCGATAAAAATAGCTCCGTCTTCAAGGCGAGAGGACGGGCTGCGCTGCCGGCAGCGCGTGGGATGCGCTTGCACCCACCGGGGCCGCAGGGGACGGGACGGGCTGGCCTGGCCCCGCGGGGTCTGTGCCCCGGCCCCCCGGCCCCGCACCGCTGCTGGGACAGCGTGCAGGGGGAGCGCGGTGCGTGGACGCGGGGGGTGCCCCGGCATTGCCCAGCGCTGCCCTCCCTCACCCCCAAATCAGGCTTGGAAATGCGTGAAGAGGAATCAGGGCTGAGCTGGGAAGGGGGGGGTCTCCACACCCCCACCCCGCTCCCCCGGCCCCTTTGGCTCATCTCGTTGGCTTTGTCCTCAGCAGGAGGGGGGACGGGGGGGAAGCCTGGGGTGGCTGAGCCCCGACAGTGTGGAGGTGGGGGGGTTCCCCTGCGAGGGCTTTGCTGCCCAACCGCAGCCGGGCTGGCTGGGGCGGGGGGCACCGGCCTTTCCCGGGGCGTGAAGACCCTCTCACCCTTCCCGGCGGCTTCGGACGGGCTCACTCCTCTCCCCGAGATCGGCACGAGGACGGTGCCTCTCCCCAGACGGGGAGCGGGGTGGGGGTCAGGGCTTCGCACCCCCTCCTTCTTGGGCAGGATTTGAATTTGATGCCCAGGGAGGATTCACACCCCCGGCAGCCAAACTCCTCCGGCACGCAGCTGCGGGGGAAACAACCCCCATCCCGGTCCCCTGCCACCTCCCGCGTTTGGGGCACGCATTTCGGCACCGAGGACGGAGGCTGGCCCCAACGGGGGTCCCCAAGGGATGCGGCCGGTGGTGGTGCAGTGGTGGGACGTGCACCCCAGCCCCTGCGGCGGGGGGGGAGCTGCGGGGAGGGCCTGGGCCAGCGGGGGAGGGGGG